ACATAAACACAATTTTTTAAAGAATTCCATGTAAAACTATCAATCTGGAAAATGTTATGGAAACATTTCTAGAGCTCTGGGGCTCCACCAATTCACTGAGACAGTCTTGAAATTGAGAAGATTTGGGACAATATTAAATCTTCCTAAGAATGTCTGTCCTGTCTAAATCACTGCAAAAGTGCAGGATAAAACCACCAAGGAAAACAGAGAACCCAGAAGAACATCTGGGGATGTGCAGGCCCCTCTCTCCTTGGCTAAAGTCAAAGCTAATGACTCCTGTGTCAGAAAAGCAGTGGGTAAAAATGGGAATTATGGGAAGATAGCTAGGTAAAAGAAATGGCTTCTGAAGAAAAAATATTGATGTTCATCTCAAGTTTGCCAAAGCACACGAATAATTCTCCAGATTCTGGAGGAATGTTCTATGGACAGATGAGTCAAAAGTGAAACTTTTCAAATTATGGGTATTATTAGGGCTGGTGAAAACCAAACACTGCATTCCACAGTAAGAACCTCATACCAGCTATCAAAACTGGAAGTTCAATGGTTTGGGGATGCTTTGCTGTCTCAGGACATGGACAATTGCTATCATTGAAGGCAGCAGGAAATTGCATTATATTAGCAAATTCTATAGAAGAATATCAGCTATCAGTTGAAGCTGAAGTGCAAGTGTTCATACAGCAAAAAGCGATTCCAAACGTACAAGAAGGTCTACAAGAGACTGAATGGAAGTAAGAAATGGAATATTTTGGGATGGCCAATTCAAACGTCCGTACTTAAACTCCATAGAAATGTTGCAGCTGGTCTGAAATGAGCAGTTTTGCTACCAAATTGAAGCAGTTCAGCTTGGAGAAGTGGGCAAAAATTTCTACACAGCAGAATCAGAGTCTGATCATCAGTTATAGAAAGTGTGTGGTTGCTGCTACTGCAGCTGAAAATGGTAAACCAGTTACAAAATCTAAGGAGAAGATGATCACACTGTCGCATTGTACATTGGATGACTTTGTTTATGAAATAAATGAAATCAGCACCCAATATTGGTGTTATTTAGTCACTCAGACTCCTTTTATATATCAGCAGGCCATATATAAGACTATTGGTAATGGTCAGTGGCAAATATATGCAAAAAAATCAAGGGAATAAGGGGCTGTGCTTTTTTCACAAAACTGTTGAGGGCTGGGGACGTGTGTGTGTAGTGCAGAAATAATTTTTTAAAAATTGCAAGAAAAAGTATCTTCCAGTGTTAGAGAAATACTAGCAATGATGCCACAACTCATGTTTTTATTTCTAACAAATTTGAGCTTCTTCTCCAAGGTAATATTGAGATAGACCCAGAGATCCTTATTCCTAGGAAAGATGGCATTTGCTGTAGCTACCTTTTGCCCTGCATTGTGGAAAAAAAGGCTCTGGGTGTTGGTTAGACACTGCTGACTTTTGTAATATTCAGGATATTGGCCCTGTTATCTACCTAAAGTGTCTGGTCTGTTGGCCTTCAAAACAAGAATGTTTATGATGGCTATCTTGTGTCTGGTGCTCCAGATACTGTACAGTATCCTACGTTGTTTTGCTGCTGCTATTGCCAAGCTCCCTAGATGGTCATGAAGAGGCCCACAATAATGTTTTGATAAGGTCTGAAAGATGATTCAGTATATTTACTTCTACAATTGAAACAAGTATTGCGTATTTAACAGGCTGAGATCATAACTTCCAAAGGACCCATGTTCCTGTGCTACAAGCATGAAATTATTAACAACAACTAGTTTTCACAGAAAAACTAGTCTTAGATATCAGCAGAAAACTTGACTGATCATTGTGTATCCCAGTCATCTTTCAAATGTGATTGGAGTAATCACTTCTCATGTTGAAGAGTTCCATGGTGCAGCTGAAAGGCATGTAAACACAAGCTGCTTATTTGCAAGAAGCTTCCAGATTTGCAATATGATTGCTATGGAAACCACATAATGAAAACCTTATAACCATCTGTGTGCTTTGATGAATTTTACTGCATAGTTCAGCTGTTTTTGTTTACTGTTGTTGAAGTCTTGAGTAGAATATATTAACTCACAAGTTTGCTATCTGTAGTATTAACACTGTTCAGTGACATAGCGTCTCCTAACTAATGTAGCACAATAGAATGCTTCTTGTTATTAATATGCTATTAATAAGGGCTAATGTGGGTATCTTTGTGATAGGTACTGGAGCTTTGAAAGAGAGGAAATAGAAGGGTTTAGTTAAGGACAGGCTTATCTACTGAAAGATTACCTGTGTTGTGGCAGAAGTGGACCACAGAAACCAAACTTGCACAGATTTTTATATCCATTTAATTTGATGTTTTCTGTTGTATCTAGTGAATGTGATGTTTTCACTTCTTTATATCTTTGAGTGTACAGAGAAATGCCACAAAGCATATTTAATCACTTCTTGTCCCCACTGTTTCCAGTTTTTTCTTTTTATATATGTGTGAGTATAAGATTCCTATCAGTAAAGAAAGGAAATATGGTCCAGGAAAGCTGAATCCTATAGTGAATTTGTTTAAGATGTCAAAAAAAGGTGTTGTAATTATTTTCTAAACTTGGATGAGGTGATTATCTTTGTTTCTGCAGGCAAGCAGGCATATACAAACATTCTTCTGTATTCTAAAATTATTATCCAAATTAAAAATTGTAGGTAAATATTTAATTGACAGGATATAATGTCATCAGTCTAGGTTGATGAGTTACCTAGGTTGAATGGGGGGAAAAGTGTTTTTGAAAAAACAGATTTCTTAATTAAGTACAACTAAACTTAAATAGTGCATTGTCTATCATTTGCCAGCGCTGTACAGTACTAAACTGGTAACAACAGCTGGCACCATTGCTTAAATTCCACAAAGAAATAGTTTGTCAACATTTTAGCAGCAAAAATGGTCTTTTACAGAATGCTTATGAAGTGTAAATTACTTAGAAAAGCAGAGGTAACCTGGCGCAGCAGGTGGGGGGACATCAGTGGATGTGAATGTTTATGGGATGTGGCACAGGATGAGAGAATTCATTGCCCCTGACATTATATAGAAAGACTTTTTGAGTCTTGTCCGTGTGCTTTATTAACATGTGGCAAGAGGAAGCTGTTGTACTGTTCTGCATTTTCATTGCATTTTCCTTTGTGTGAAGTGAGGTTATTTTAGCTATACAAAAACCTTATCTGGTAGGCTACAAGGCAGTAGACTTGCTGTGGGCCACACAGGGAGCATCATTACTAGAGATTGCAAGCTGGATTTCCACATTCAGTTCAACACATTGACCCCAGCTGAACAATGAATGAACTACTAACTGTTAAATGAATTGTAAAACGAGTACACCCAGCCACATATTGCACTTTGGATATTATTAGCACAAACTATTTATTGATCTTAGCTTTCTTTTAAATGGACATCAATCCATCTGCTCAGCCTTAGCCAGAGCCCGCATAGTTGCTAAGAGAGGCAACCAGATTAGATTATTTGAACTGATACAGTCTGAGTTGCAATATTTAATCATATAACTAGCTTCTAACTGGGTTGTTGTGGTCCAAGAAGTGTGACATGGTTAGTCCTGGAGTAATGCTCTTGGATGAAACTGAATCTTAATTGTGAATGGGCAGATGGAGTTATAGAAATTGCAGCTGGGTACAATATTGTAGTGATAACTAAGTCATCTTCAACGTTTGAGGGTGATAGGGTGCCCCTTATTAATTATAATGTAGATAAAAACATATCTGTAGCAATCAGCAGAAATCACTCATAGTTACATAACTTGGTGGTTCTCTGGAATCACATGCACTGCTTCTGAAGTATACCAATCTGTCAGCCCTTCCAGGTAGTCCAGACTAGAAACCAATACCTGGCTGTGGCTCTTCCTCCTCCTGTCTCTCAAGGATATTCCCACAGACCATTAAACAATCCCACATTTATATTTTCCTGGTGATTGCATGTCATGTGACTCTTGTAATCTATAAAACAGTGACATCAGCAGTGGTTTGTGGTTAGAGTCAGTGGTTCACAGATTTTCTCAGCATTGATGTTGGAATTTTTCCAAGGATTTCAATATCTCATGCACTTCCACAGTCTGATCTCAAAGTAGAATCAGGCGTAGCCACAATTCAGTGGTAACCAAACTGTGTGATGATGCACCATTAGGAGTATAACAGTATTAGATCTAGATGAATAAAGGAGAAGTCACTTGATGTAAATTGCTGTGTTCTAAAGTTTTTAGTGTTTTGTACTTAATGTAGAAGATTAGCTTGCATTGACTTAACCGTATAACTTGCAACGTGATCAAGCTTTCTATATATATTTATAACTTAAAAGGGAAAAAATGCTGCCTGTATGCCAGTTCGATGCAAGGGTAGTCCTGCAAGTTGAAATGACCTGATTCATGCAGTATCACAGTGGGTAAGAGATTGGTGGATTCAGAAACTACTCTCGGAATGGGTGGGTGGCGAGGCTGGGCCAATCTTTGAACTCTGCTTCAGACAGCAAAATGTATTAATGTGCTAGTAGTTATCACCGTGTGAGTAGGTGAACTGAAATAAAAATTTGGCTTTGGGAAAATGATGTAGGAAATATAACCTTTAGAGGACCTGTAGACATCATAAGCAAACTGGAACTGTAAAGGGCTACTGGAAACCTCCACAATACGTTGAACTGGACTCCACAATCCCAGCTCCATGTTATGGGAATTAAAATCTAACACCATCTAAAGGATACCAGATTTGGGAAGGCTGACCTGTTGGCACTTAGAATTTATTTTTCCTCTTTAGAGAAAACAAATGGCTGTAAGTACGCTAGGTACATTTCTTGTTCAAAATGTTGGTGTTTGTAACTAAGGGAGACCTTCAAGTGTTTAACACAGTTTCAACCTGTAACATGTTGTTGAACCCTCTCTGAGAGATAAAGTGTACACAAATAAATTACTATCTTGTATTTTCTAAATTATCAAGGGCTGTAGTTCTTTAAGCTAACTTTGTTGAACTTATTGTATCTGCAGAAGAAGCAGCAACAGTAGCTGAAATGCCAGTAAAGAGTGAAGAACCAACCAGACAAAGTCAGGACACTGTTAGCAGTATTTCAGGTATGTCGGATGCGGTGCCTATATTTTTTCTCTATTGCTTTTCACTTGCTTTTGAGGCTTGCCTTCGCTCTAGCACAAATAAAGATATTTGAAATTCCAGAAGCTTAACCATTTTCCTATGGCACTAAAGCTGAGTGGGATTTGGTGGAGGGCAGAATTTGAATAGCTCCATTTAGGATGCATGAAAATTGCTTGAGAAGGATTTATAAAGTAAGCCAATTTATACAAGGTATTCCTTTCTGAATTACTTTGTAATGACTCAATTAGCTTTCATTTCTTCACAAAGGAGATTTAGCTGCATAAATTAGCTTATCATCATTGAGGATGTGTCACTGCTAAAGGACAGTTTATAGATACAACATGCAGTTGCTGTCAAACCTATAAGAATGTAATATAGACATCTGTGTATACTTTGTGCTTGAGCAGAACAGACTTCTGTCATTCAGAGACTAACAGGGGACAACAAGTTGCCCAGGGGACCAACAATGTAGACGTCTCTGAAAAGGTCATCTTGACACAGGCTCTGACAATCGACCCACAGCTCTGTCTTCTTTGATAAAAATCAGATAAACTTAAGACCACTAATTGATCTGCAGCCTGCTTAAATGTTGGCCATGCATATCTTCATTGCATATGATTATACTACAGAAAGCAAATGAACCGGCCTGAGAAATGCCAGGGTCCAGTGATAGCAGAAGGAAAGGGATGGCGGTATGAAAATTAGAAGGGGACAGCACTACCCAAGAATTGTAGTGGAAAAAAGTCTACTGCTTTCTTTCTTTTGTGTTGGCAAGTTGCCCTGCTGTTAATCCACAATGAAGTTGGGGAACTGGATCAGATGCCCTAGAATAGGAGCAGCTTTTCTTAAGGGCATATTAAGGTTTGCTTTACTGACAGTGCCATTTACATACTTGGCTGACTTTCTGACTTGGAAACCCAATGCCTGTTCCTTATCGGAACACCTCTAAACTCCAGACATCAGCTGAATGCATGGTGTGCTGTTGTCACTGTGTCCTGAAAGAATGAACCTGAGGTTATCTTTCTTGTCATATTTGCTCCACATCATTCTTCCACTGCTGTCAGAGAAAGGGTGGATGAGGAGTATGTTCAGGAAGTTTCTTCACTATGCCCTTCCTGTTATAGCATGTGGAAAGGAAACAGGCCTGATTTCCGGCCCCTGGCAGGAAACTATATGAACAGGTTGTTGTAGACAGTTTAGGCTTGTGTTTGCTGCAAAGGAAACAAAGTTTTAAGTCATCAGATATTGCTCTTAGAATGAACCACCACAACAGATTAAATAATATTTCTTACCATAGAAAGGTTACTCCCACTAATCTTGGCAGTAGGATCTTTGAAGCTTTTTGGTAACTTGGCATGCATTTACATTAACACAATGTCAGCTGGCTCCACTTCAAGGCCTTTAGAACGTGAACCCTGGAGTCTTCTCAGAATGAAGCAAAACACCACAAAAGAGTATTTAAGCTTCATCTAGAATTTGGCATTTTTGATGTTCCTTACAGTATTGTTATTTCTTCTTCATGGAGCACCATGGCTATCCACTTTGCCTCCCTCAAAAGGTATCAAAAGATACTTCTGTTTAGATCCTTTGTGTATTCAGTCAGAAAAAGATTGTCTTGGTTTCAATAGGACTTACTCTGGGAAAAATGTGTAGGATTGAAGCCTCAATAAACCATAAGCACTAACCAGTGAGCAGTATACATCACTCGTCCATAGGAAGGTTGTGCTAGGTAAGAGTCTTTAGCCTCTGGGCTCTCTCTGTTGTTTGTATGGTTAATCCTGATAAATTTCAAACTCAACAATTGGATGTATGTTTCTAGAGCAAGTAAATTTCAGTAATTGGTATTATAGCAAGCTCAAACTTGAATGCAATGTGTTGCTTTGCAATTGGTTTGTTTTAAACAGTCTTAATTATATTTGTTACATTTGAGCTTAGCAGGTATTTCCTGCAGCACTGAGTTACCTATTTGTCAGTGGGGTTGGCTTTCAGTTATTGGAGAGATTTAAAATATCCCTATCTTTACATACTCTCTAGGCTCCTTAGGAGTGCTGTGGTGGATCCGACCAAAGATTCACCCATTTAAATAATAGGAAGCTCACAAACTAGTGTGATATGATAGCTTTTCTGTGGCACCCCATGCAGTAGCATACTTCCCACCCAAATGATGGGAAATATGGCACTGTATACTAAATGAGTGCCATACATGTAAATGAAATGGGAATACAGCTCCCAGAATTCCCAGCAAGTATGGCCAAAGACTGAGGATTCTAGAAGTTATAGTCCCAGCACAACTGAAGGCTTCAGATTGGGGAAAGCTGACAACAATATTCAGGCGTAAGTAGAGAAAATGTCTTCCTTAGTTCAAGGGTGGAAGCTGTACATGTAAAAGTCTACCTCTACTGAAACTATAACAACTGTGTTGAAATACATTTATAGGACTCCTTTAACTTTTATAAGTTGCTTGGAAAAGTTCTTATTGAAAAAGCAGTATTCTAAATAAGTAGATAAACGTGTCTATCCATCATTGCCAATAGCTGCTGATAGATTTGTCCTTCGTTATTTGTGTAATCCCATGTTAAAAACATCCAATATAGCAGCAACATCTTATCTTGCCTTATCTTCATCATTTGTACTACTCTGCTGTTAACAGCAGATGGGGAAAGAGTTGTGTGTGCGTGTGTAAATAAATGTTCTTCATTCTAGGTATAACTTTATAAACTTCTATTACAATCCGGTAGTCCTTCTGCATAAACTAAAAATCCCTAAATGCCATAGCTTACAGAGAATAAATCAGTTTCTATACATGGAAGCAAAGAATTGGTTGTTCAGCTTCTAACAATGGAATTATTAGGAGACAGCAATAGATCATCTCTAGATTGCTCTCTTAAAATGACCAAAATCCTATGAGACTGTCAAATTTATTATTATTTCTCTGGTGAGATGTAATTTTACAGATCTCAGGCAAGAAAACATGAAATCTGATGAGATCTGTTTTTTTTAAATGTAAAATTAATTAATTTTTAATGTTTATGTTTTAACACCTATAACAGCACATGAAACTGTACAATGCCTGAAAAGATTGCTGGCTCCTGTTTGAAAGGAGTGTAAATTGAAGCATTTCTCAAGATGCTGCAGCTGTGATAAGATAGATATATTTGGATTCCTTCCAACTCTTCTAATTCCTTATCCTGTGCAAAACTTTAAAATTTTGAGCCACTATATCAGAAGCTTCACGAAAATTCCAGAGTGACCATTTTCCCAACATCTGTGGACTGACATTCATGCAAATACTATGCTAATTATAGCTATTGCACATAAATAATATACAATCAAGCTCAAATTTCCAGCACACAGTGTTGAAAAAGTGACCTGTCTATATCATAAAATATTAATGTTTTTCTTTGTCTTAAATTGTTATGGGCTGACTCTAAATTTAAGTGGACATCATACAGTCTTCTTGAAAGCACCATAACAATTATCCCCCAACATAACATTTATTTCAGGCAGTGGTTTTAACACTTCAGCATGGCAGTAACCTCTGATTGTCTCCAAATAGCTAAACATATAATGCAAGAAGGTTTCTTGTACTCTGTAGAGTAGTGAGTTGACGAAGATACTTTCTTCTTCATTTCTTTTTTTTGGGGGGGGGGAGTTCTGGGGATTATAATCACATGAACTTGTTCTAACCTTATTTAAGAATGTGATATATTTTTTTAACATTAAAACTTTTTCCCAAAAATAATTTGCATACACTAGCTTCTGTTTGGGTACCTGTGCAACCTTTTCCCCTTTATATATATATTTATTGGTAGGTATGACAACTGGAAGATATGATAAAGTACAACCAAAAATATAGCAGTACTAACCTAATCAGAAAAAAAAGATAGAATAACGAATGAATGAGTGACATTTGTAGAAACTAGAAGTATATCCATAAAATGTTAATATAGAACTAGCTTGGTCCTTTAGCTTTTTCCAAAATCTAGCCATATAAACCATCTATTGCTCCATCTTCTCAGTTTTAGTATAATATGTTATTTCGATTACGTGATATTTATATAATATGCTTAGATTCTTAATATTCTATTATATAGGTGCCTTAGAGTTTTAAATGTAGAAAAGGGGGAAGAGAAGGAAAAAAAGTGGATATTAATCAATTATCAATATTAATTACAGTTTCGAATGTTAATGTTACATGCATTATAATTATTTGACTTTTGTTCAAACTTAAATATAACGGATATATAATAAAATGAAAAAATGAAGGAAGAGCATACATCAAGATATTTGTTTTACAATAATAGTTTTGGTCTTAAGGTAAATTACTTATTATTAAAATCTCCATCATGTTGTTGCATGGCGTATATGAATATGTATATAGCCACGTTTGTTCAGGAGGAAAATGTAACAGGAGTAAAGAACAGTTCACGGTAAAAAAGGAGAAAAGATGCTACTAGTTGGTCAGGTCACA